TTATTATTGTTGTTGTTGTTGTTGTTGTTGTTGTTGTTGTTGTTGTTGTTGTTGTTGTTTTGTTGTTGTTGTTGTTGTTGTTGTTGTTGTTAGTGTTAGTATTAGTATTAGTATTAGTATTAGTATTAGTATTAGTATTAGTATTATAATATGTTGGCAGTAAGCCATGTTTATGTAGGTTCATGTGCATCAAATCCAATGTGCATAGGCTGTAACTATGTGGTCAATTCCCAGGTTTTATCTGAGAACTGTTGCTATAACCTGGATACTGTTGGATTAATACTGAGCTATCAATTCATTGTGATTGTATTTTACTTGTATTCCAATCAGATAGTAAATAAATAAGCAAATACATACATACATAACACATGACTACGTGCAGTAGTTCAATTATAGGGTCAGAAATGGATGCCCTGCTAGGTAGCTGTATTCCATGGACTGAGCAAGAAGATGCATTCTCTTTTTTATGTTCTGTTTAGATTGGGGTTGCCTGCTGTCTATTAACTTAAGCTATGGTAAGTGGCTTTCATGTCATCTATCAAATGAAGGAAGCAGTGTTGCCTTGTGTTCAGCAGTGCTGCACTGAAAGAGCTTTGAGTCCACTTGCTTTGGTGTGACACGAATGGGATGACACCATGCAAGTGAAAAGGCGAGAAAACCTGAGTGCACTAACGGGCAGCGGCTGGTGCTGCAGTAAAAGGCTGAGGTTGGCAGTGGAGGCCGCAAGTGGGTCGGCTCTTACCTGACCACCTGCAAAAATGACAGGGGTGGAGGCGGGCTTTGGGCGATAGGGAATGGTGGCACCTTTCGGTGGGGACTAGGAGAAGGGACAAGGAGAGGGAGAGAGAACATTAGATCACATTTCCTGAAACATCAGCAAGAAGAGAGTTAGAGAGGAAGCAAAAGATAAAGCCACACTGCACACTTAACAATCTGTGATGCCAGCTGTGAATGTGCAGTAGTCCATGTTCAGAAAAGAAACAAGAGTAGCTAGATAACAATTATGCAGAGAAAATCGATTCTACAGTTAATATTGCATTTCTATTGTACTTTAGAGTTCAAAACATTGTCACACATTATTAATTACCTTTTATTGTTAATTATCTGTTATTTATAACAACCTGTTATGGGCCATATTCCATCTTAGATAAGAAATTTTGTGTTTTTCAAAATTTGGTTTGACTTTAATAACTTCTCAGTATCACTTGGCTTAGTAGCTCATTCACAGTCCAATATATTCTTGGCAGGGTGAGTCTGCCCGAGAAAGTAACATTCTGTCTATAAGATGGAGACCTGGCATCCCATTCATGCCTTCTTCCTCATCTCAACATTTGGACGCCACTGCAAGACACTCCTTAAAATTGTTTAGAAGCTTCAATAGGAGTGAAATGAGAGGCAGAGTCCTAATGGGATATCCCAGTGGAGAGCATACTACAGGAGTGAGGTGAGCTCCCTGGTAGTTCAGCCACAATTCAAAGCATGGATGCTAATCTCTAAGGCTGCAAAGGGCTCATGCCCAGCCTGTCATTTTGCACCCTCCACTTCTTGCACTGGAAGCTTTCAGATCAAGAAAGGAGGCTTCTTCTTCATTTATCTATTATCATTTATTAATGGTGTTGTGTGTACATCAACCTAAACTACTCTCGAATTAGTAGATCTCCAGGTAAACTTGCAGCAAGGGATTTTGGCTGCCAATTGTTTAGTAGTAGAAACAACAAAAAGCATTTTCCCCTTAGCAAAATTTGGGTTCCAAAATTAAGAAAGCTGGGAGCAAGAGGTTTGTGAATGAATTCCAGTTAATGCCTGACCTGAGCATGCGCTACATAAACTTGTGATCTGATAGGATAAAGTGTGTTCATTCATACACTGAACATGCAGGACTTGAGTTTATGGATGGAAGCATATGGAATTGATCCGTTCTCTAACATTAGCATTACTGTTGGAAAACAGGACAGCACCACTTAATATAGCAACATTTAAATCATCTATTACTGTTCATTATAGTGACAGGTATATGTATTGAATTCTGTAGTGAATGAGGCTGTGGGAAGAATCTGGGGCCAGAGGAAGTAGCACAAAATGCAAGATGTGCTCTGATCTAACCTGAACAATTGCTTAACTAAAAGGGAAAAAATGAAAGTGGTGAAGATGGGTCTCAACTGTTTCCCAGCTGCATGGTTTATTAAATGCTGAATTTATTGTGAATCAGTAATATAAAAAAAGTGAGCAAGCATTTGCTTATATTCGATACCTGACGCAACATGCATCAAGGAGATACTGTATAATGTAAGCACCCCGTCAATTTACTAAGGTCGTCATCCTTCACCCACTCAATTCTGAAGTTTTTTATTTCAACATCTAGATTAATTCTTCAACACTCTTTTGTAAATCCCAGCAATAAAACTGAGTTTGAATTGGGAGTAGCATGCTTAAAACTGACTTGAAAAATCATGACTACATGATGCATAGCCAACTCCACATTTTTTAGCCACTGATTAAATTATTTTGAATAGTACTGCAGAGGGTTTTTATTTTAACACGACTGTGCAATTGATTTATTTTACATTGCTTAAAATTGGAATAAAAATTTCCCAAAGTGAAACAAAACCCACATGACTGAATCGTTTTCAAAAACATTGGAGCCCAAATCAATCAAAATCTTCAGTGTAACCACGCCGTCAGTATAACTGCAATTTCTGCATAATCCAGAATTATCAATGTGAGGGAGGAGATTGATAAAAATGTAATTTGAAATTAATTTTTTCTTCTTCAGAAACACATTAAGACAAACAAAAGGAAATTTTGGACAAACATAACATCAGAAATATGCTTCAGTGCTGAATAACATATGAAATATGGAGATATAATCAATCAAAGGAACAGAAGTAATGACCTCATCTATCTATTTGTCCAATAGTGCAATTATTCCCAAGCCTGGGTCTCCAGATATTAACACTCCCAGAAGTCATGCTGGCTAGGACTTTTGGGAATTGTAGTCCAAGAACATCTGTGGACCCAAGGTTGGGAATCACTACAATAGTGCCTCCTGCTTCTCTTTTTGTCTTTTTGAGGGGGGGGTCTCCCCCCTGCTTCTCTGTTATTCTTGTTTTCTGAAGAATGTAATTGTTTAATTTGTTCCATCATGTATTTTATATAGTCACATGTATTTTATAGACCTGGCGTGCTCTGGTCAATGGGGTCATGAAGAGTCAGACACAACTAAACAGCAACAACAAATTTTATAGTCACTTCAATATGACTACATCTTTATCTGTATATTTATCACTGATAGTCCTATCTATTATGGGTTGCTATAATAGTTCAAGTCTTCTAAGAATTACTTTACTACTTGTGTCATCCAAAAATACCTGTCTTAAAAATCATTATTATCAGAGCACTCTAAGAAGTTTAGAATTTAAAAAATACCACTCAATGACCCAGTTCTCAACAACAAGAAACATAGATTGTCAGAATTGAGTTATTTTTTTGTCCTGTGTACTTTACCCCCATTGTTACAGACTGTACCTCCAGCATCACCACACAGATCTGTTTGACACATTGGATAATTGCATCGGGGGTCCCTGAGATGGTCACTGCCCTCTCTGTGGAGTTTGGCAGCATGTCCCCCGCCACTTGAACCTGAGCACCTGTTGACTGGCAAAAGAAAAAAAGAAGAAGAAGGAAGAAACAGAGAGATTAAAAAACAAGTTAAAATAGGAGAATGGCTCATTAGTTCTCTTAGGCAAGTAAACATTGGAGGACAAACACTGTCTGCAAAGAGAAGCACAAACCAATCCTCTAGTCAGTCACTATTTATACTCCAGTTACTAAGTATCTGGCACAGGAAGAACCCCTTCTCCTTCAACACTTACTATTATTTATTACCTGAAATATTTAAACCATTTGATGGATTATTTGGGTGTTAAGTATTTATGCATGGAGAACATTGGCCATGGAAAACTCACTGGGAGAATGGAACAGATAAAACCACTCCTTAAATATCTTACTTATTTTGAAAGCCCTATTAAGGGCATTAATAAGTCAGTTCCAACTTGATGGTACAGAACATACATACAAGGATTTATTACAACTGTAATTAATTAATTTTATTTTAGAATTTATGTTCTAGATTACCTTCTTAGCTACCAAAATGGAATTAATTTCCATATAATGCCATTTGATTAAAATGACTTGGTAAGCAAGATTGCTTAAAGCAGAATATTTGCATTTAAACCAATTTGTATATAAATTTTCCTCAGCAATTCTTGGTTCAAGACCAGAAGGCTTATTGCAGGTGGTAAAAGGCCAGCAGCAGCCATTCTTCATAAAGCTGGCCATAGTGGTCCAGACTATGGTGGCCAATGGGGTGGGTAGGTAATCCTTTTAGATGGCCCGGAAACTACACATGGAGTGGAATGCCTCTGAGTGGGTGACCTTATTGGCACATAATATTTCTGTTAAAAGGACTGCATCTGCTGGTGATTTACTACCATGCTAAGGTTATGTTCATTTGTTGGCAGTTCAAGCTCTGAAGAATCAGAACGTGATGACCTCAAAGACCCCTTTATGCTCTTTTGGCTATCTAGAGTGAGGGTGGTATGACACATCCCTGACGTCCACTGCCACCCTAATTTGAATCAGGGCATTTAACATAATGCTGCCCACTATGTAAAATTGTCTTCCCACTGATGTCAGAAATGGACCAACTATTCTTCTTTCTGCAGTCCTTCTTAGTTTAGTTCTGTTTTATCATCTATTTTATGGATAATGTAAATCCCCGATTGCTGCTTGTGGGGTGGACCCCCTATTGTTTCCTATGGATTTTCCTATATTGTTGTAACTATTTGGAATCTTATGTAGGATTTAAAAGCAGTTTATAAATATTCATAAATCTATAAATAGAAACACAGCCTTACCTCCCTGATTTCCTTAATCTTGGAGCCTCCTTTGCCGATCAGTGACCCACACTGGCTAGCTGGCACAACCAGCCTTAGTGTTACGGGTGGCTTACTAGTAGCTGTGCTGTTGCTCATAGAGTTGATGATATCCTAAAGAAAAGAAGGAAGGAATTCTATTTTAGGCGGATGTAGGAAGATTTACAGTAATAATACAATAATACAGTATATTAACCACTTACAGCGGGCTGGATAGGTCAGTGAGTTAAGGTAATCTGGCTGTGGAGCCAGAGGTTGGCAGTTCAATTTTCCCCACCTGTGCACCCCAGAAGATTCTGCCTCTCTGGCCTTGGGAAGAAAGGAAGGGCAAACCAATTCTGAGGGCCCTCTACCTAGAAAGTCTTGAAAGGGGTTGCCTGAAGTCAGAACTGACTTGATGGCACACAATTATTATTATTAACCACTTACACATTGTACAGCAGAATTCTACTAGTGTTTGTGGAAGATTTTTGTAACTTGCATGTGTTACTTGACCAGGCCAGGGCCTGTTTCAGTCACATGTTTGTTCACGGGCCTGACTGTGCAACAGAGATTTGCCTTGATATCTCATCAATAAGCTATAATTAGCTGTGGTGAGTTATTAAAACTTTATACAAACAATGGTAGGATCCTGGCCATATAATTGAAGAGCTACATGCAGTGGATTAGAAAAAAAAATCTGAACTAAATTGTTCTTATTCAGAGGGAACCAGGATTCCCTCTCAAATCACCCATATAAAAATCTGAATTGTCCTGAATTCAGTGTGTGATCTAGAGTTTTAAAAGCAAAAGTTGAGCCACAAAGGCATGCCTGCAAAAACTGCAGCATTTCTCCCCAAGCTCCCCATAAAGAAAATGCAAGGGTAGGGGATAGGACTAAGGAGAGTTGGAAGATGCAGTTTTGTGAAGGAGAGGTCTTGTATCTAATCATAGTGAATTTTTTAAACGCAATCTCAATAATAGTTATTTGAGGAATACATGAAATAATATACAAATTCTCTCCAAGTCAGTTCTGGACTCTTTTTCAGTTCTCTCTTGAGTATAGTACATATTGTGGTATTTGAGAGGCTTCTTCCTTTATTTCCAGTATGTGTCTTATATGCCTCATATATCGCTATACCAGTTTTCTGCTTTGTTCCAAACAATCCTTTCAAAAACCTGTTCCAATTTATTCTTGACTAAAATGTATACCATTTCCTAAAATTCAGGTCCTTCTGACACATGCCTGTTGCTTTTTGGTAGAATCTAAGTGCTATTCCTTCGTGGTCATGTACACTCAGTTAAACAGAGGTCTTGTCCCCTATTTCTTGTTGTTGTTCAGTCGTTTAGTCATGTCCGACTCTTCGTGACCCCAAGGACCAGAGCACACGAGGCCCTTCTATCTTCCACTCCCTCCCGGAGTTTGGTCAAATTCATGTTGGTCACTTCGATGACACTGTCCAACCATCTCATCCTCTGTCGTCCCCTTGTTCTCTTGACCCCTATAACCCTCTCCAAAAATATTTGGCCCTAGCTGTATAGATTTTAAGTTCACAAAACAATAGAATTGTAGAACTGGGAGGTCTCAAGGTCATTGAGCCCAGATCTCTGCAGGAAATTCACCATTAAGCAAACCTGACAGATGATCATCTAGCCCCCACTTAAAAGCCTCTCATGAAGGAGTATCCACTATATCTCAGGCAGTCTCATTGTCCAAGAACTCATACTGTCAGGTCTTTCTAATGCTTACTTGAAATTTCCTCTCTTGTAATTTGGATCTATTACTTTGAGTCCTTGCCTCAGGAGCTGGGTACAAAAGGTTTTCTCTAAGTTCAAGATGACATCCCTTCAAGTATCAAAGACACCTATCATGTGACTTCCCCATCTTTTCCTTTTTAGGTTAAAGATGCCCAGTTCCCTGAACTACTCTTCATATCACTTGCTTTCCACTCCATCTATCATCATGGTTGCCCTTGCCTCAACACATGGCAGTTTGTCAATATTCTTCTGAAATTATGGTGCCCAGAACTGGACACAGTATTTCAGGTGATGTTTCACCAAAGAAGAGTACAATGTTACTATAAATTCTTTAGATTTTGACACAATGTATACTGCTGCAGCTTAGTATACCATTGGGTTTTTTTTGCTATCATGTCACATTTTTGGTTCATATTTAGCTTTTTATATATTATATATTATTGCTTATTTGTGAGGGGAAAAACAATAAAATGGGTTATAATTCAAGACCAGAATCCAATTCTCCATATAGTCACATACAGGACAGATTAATCTACAGGTATTTGTAAATCTTAGAGCTCAACTATAAACTTTTCCAAATTTTTCAACAATCTTTTTCATCTGGTTGTAAATGTTGGAGTTTTATTTAGATCCTCACATGTTGTCTGTAGTTTGAGTGACTATCTAGCTCTAAGCAATTGTTCCTTTCAGTTTTTGAAATTCAAAGAGAGCCCCACCTCTCTGTTGAGTGTCCTATTCCTTTCTTTCAGCAGTTGATAGCAGTTGTTTATTTCTGTTGATCTGTTCAATAGGTTGCTAGCATGTATACAGTAAAGAAAGCAGCATACACGAGTTTATAATTTTAATTTATTTCTTTATTTTATTTATTTATTTGATTTGTATCCCACCCATCTGGTCTATATGACCATTCTAGGCGGCTTCCAATCAACTGTAAGTAAAGGAACATTTTTATTTTCCCCTGCAAATATCTCAGAGTGTGTTGCTGAGACTTTAAGGGCCAGTTAATGAGAGAAGGTGGACTCTGGGAATGTATAGCTATTCTACTCTGTGGATCTCTGTACTTCTGCTGTGTAGCAAAAAGAGAATTTTGCCATAAGAAGCTTCGTGGCGCAGTGGTTAAACCGCTGTACTGCAGCCAAAACTGTGCTCTTGACCTGAGGTTCAATCCCAGGTAGCCGGCTCAAGGTTGACTCAGCCTTCTATCCTTCCGAGGTTGGTAAAATGAGTACCCAGCTCGCCGGGGGGGGGGGCAATGTGTAGCCTGCATAATTAACTTGTAAACCGCCCAGAGAATGCTTGAAGCACTATGGGGCGGTATATAAGCAGCATGCTTTGCTTTTTAAAAAAAATAAAGATATATTTGCAACAGTAAAGGTATATTTTGAAACAAAAATAAAAATTTTCATCACTATGAGCTTTTAGTATCAGAGGTCTATCAAACATACATATATTTCTTAATTTTCTCCTTTATGGAAATAAATGTATTCTTATAATTTCTATAAATTATCTTATGTATATTTTTTGTTAGCTACATTCCTAGATTTTAAAAACTAAAATCAGTTTGGTCTTCTGCTTCTGAAAAAAGATCATTTGGTCTACTTTTTCATTCCAGCTTCTTTATCTTCTTTTTTTAAGTGTTTACTCACACATACTTTTTATATACTTGCTTACTCATGTTTATAAATTAAAAGTAAGCAGACTTTGAATGGAGCTGATTTTTATGCTTTACTTGCTACTGCAAGTCATGTGCCCTGTTGACTCATCTTTAGCTTATGATCCACTAAGACACTTTGATCCTTTACACAAGTACTGCTGCCAAGCCAGCTGTCTCCCATCCTATATTTGTAGTAGAGATGGGGGTATTTGTATTCGCATAGGAATACGAACATCCCCACACAGCTGGACTTAATGAGGGTCTGGCCCACCGGGTTGGACCATCCACTCACAGGTCTTGCTGCGGCGCCTGTCTCACTCATCCTTCCAATTGCATCTGGAGCACCGCTCTGTTCCCACTCAGCTGGCCACTCGGCAGTCATGCAGGGAGTCTTGTCCTTCCGCCCCCTGCCTGGAGTGGCCAGCCAAGTGGGAAGAGAGCAGCACTCTGGCCACAATTGGAAGGATGAGTGGGATTGGCACCCCCGGGGCTGGACCCTTCTGAAGTCCAGCTGCACAGGGATACAAATATCCCCATTGCTAATTTGTACACGTCAGTTTTCCCTGTTTCAGTCTCTGTGCTTACTACCATGGTTAAAAGCAATATTTCTTCCTTGTAGTTTGCTACACGATTTCACAGTGTCTACAATTTTATGGAGATATAGGTGCCCTTCTTCAGTGAACTACTAATCCATTAATATCCTGTAAAAATACTAACAATTTTCTTACCTCCTCAAATTTATAAGCAATCATGGCAAATGCTTTGAAGATGGCATCAGTGGGGCCAGTAATGGTCACAATTCTCTCTGGACAGTTTCCTTCTGAGATATTAATTCTTGCTCCACTCTGCAACAAAGAAACCAGCCCACATCTTTTCATATGTATAGAAACTGTGTGTGCTGAATTTCCATCATACACTTATAGGGGATTCTGATTCAATATCACAATGCTAAGCTGTTGTGCTACTTATTTTTAATCATGAATCCACTGGCACCTGATTTTAGATTAAGTAAATGTCTATTCTTAACAACAAAACTAAACACCACCAATGGCCTGACTAGAGTAATTTTATGCAGATGGCACAGTCTCTGATCCATCAAGCTGGATGCAACAAAATCATATCTGCTGCCCCAGGACCGGCTCCTTTTAAGTCCTGTTTCTGTAAAAGAGAGGAATGTCACAATACATGCTTGTGTGTCAAGATGTGAAATTTTATATGTATAAAGTGCTAAAACAATTAAGGAGGGTATAGAAAGTACAGTCCTGAAAACAAACACTGTCTTTTAAAAATGAGGTTTGAGTAGCAGTTTCCTAAAAGTTACTGTAAAGGAGATGAGCATATTTACAAACTAAACTAAGGAGAAAAGTGAGAGTGTATTAAAATATGTAGAATGTAGTAATGTGTTGAACCAATTAGAAGTTTGTGTTTCAGATTCTGTAGTTTGCTCTCCTTTATTTTACTAGACCTTTGTAGTTTCAGCCCATTGAAATCCATAGGCTCTGCAATTGTTACTCAAAGTAACAACTTTTTTTGTCATGGTGGCAGCTTGCCAGATTCTGATTTACAGGAACCACAAGATCAGAAATAAGAATTTTCTATTATAAATTTTCCCTGGTGAGTAAACTTTATAGTTACAGGTCTGGCAAAAAAGAATGTTGACAGTTTTAGGGTGGAGGAGATAACACTATAAATGATGGCCAGAAAAGGCAGTCAAGGCAAAGAGCAAAGGATGATAGGAGAGCAATGTTAGATGGGAGAGAACTCTTTTCCATTCACCTTATTAAGTTCTCAGAGTTATATTGCTAAAATGTTCTATTGTAGGTAGAGGTTTTGGCTGTTCAGTAGATAGAGAAAAGTATTATACACACATATCTGCTTGCATATGCTTGTTCAGTAGAAGGAAGGAAAAGTAGAGGTTTTGCTGGACATTCTGTTTATCTGTCTTGCATGCAGCAAAAAACTTGAAGAACATCCAAAAGAAGAGAGTAAATTGTACAGGGTGCAATTTTTCCTCTGATTCAAACTTTCTGATTACCCTTTCTGAGATACATGTGCTGAACACAGGCTTTGATTTTTCCTTATATGTCTATAAAAGTTTATAGGGAGCCTCATGCCAAGTGGTTAAATTGCAGTACTGCAGCCAAAATTCTGCACACAGCGCGGGTTCAATCCCAGGTAGCCAACGGGAGGTTCACTCAGCCTTCCCTCCTTCTGAGGTCAGGAAATTGAGTTGCTCAGGGGAGGGGGGGGAATTCCCTCCTTCTGAGGTCAGGAAACTGAGTTGCTCAGGGGAGGGGGGAAATGTAGGTTGCATAATTAAACTGTAAACTGCCCAGAGAGTGCTTTAAGCACTATGGGATGGTATATAAGTAGCATACTTGCTTAATTTTTTTTTTAAAAAATAGGATTGATAGGGAGATGTCTGTGACAAACCCAGACCTACTGGGATATGTCACACAGTTACACTAAGCTGCCACCAACCATTCCCTATAAGAAGTCACACAGACCAGGGATGGATTTTTAAACAATAAAAAGAATAAGGTTTATTTTAAATACACACAGGGAAAAATAAACAATCAGGTGAATAGGATAAAGTAACGTGGCTTATTCTCACTCATACATGCATACAGTTTGGTTCAC